GTCTCCGGGCGGGTCCTACCGGGGTTTGGGCAAAGCATCTCGCTAAAGGCATCTCCGAGAAGGTAAGGCAAAAGGAATTCAGTTCACTTCGTCCCCGGGGAGCGGCTCGGCTTTGGGGTCTCCCGTTGCTCCCACAGACACACGCGCTCCGGGTACCCCGAGAAACCAGGCGAGGCGTCGCTTACAGACGAGGCCACGAGAGGAACAGCCGCCCCACAGCCCAAATCCGGGAGGGACCCGTCGTGCTGGGAGCATCTCCGTGCCACGGGGACCTGCTGCGGTACCGCCGGGGCTCGGCGCTGGGATGGTGCCGTGGGGTGCCACGGCAGAGCGGGGACGGTGCGGCGAATGGCCCCATCGCTGCACACAGACTGCCCTTGACCCTGGTGGGACCAGCCCCGATGGGACCGACCCTGGTGGGACCGACCTCGGCAACGCCAGGGTTTCACCGTGCCACTTCCATCACCTTCGCCTGCCACGACGGCGGCCCCACCAGCTGCCATGATCTGGATGATGCAGTCAGGGGGGCTCAGCCCACCCCAGTCCCTCAGGGCTCAGCATCCACCCTCATCCCCGGCCCCTCCTTCGGCTCAACCCCGGCAAGGCGAGCTGCTCGCCGGGGCTCACCCTGGCCTAGTTCCCCTGTTCATGGGTGTTTCGGGTGGCTTTGGTTGGGGTGACAGAGACTCGGGCCACACACAGCTGGAGGGACCCTGCAGGGCTGGTTGAGCAGAGCCCCTAGGGCTGAGGGGGTCCATGCATGGTGGGTTGTGGGGGTGGAGGGACCATGGGGAGGCCAGCAGGGTCCATGCATGGTGGTCGGTAGGACAGGAGGGACCACAGGAGGCCGTCACCATCCATGCATGGTGGTCTGTAGGACCAGAGGGACCACGGGACAACGGCAGGGTCCATGCATGGCAGTCAATAGGTCCTGAGGGACCACAGGAGGCCAGCAGGATCCATGCATGGTGCTCGGTAGGACCAGAGGGACCACAGGAGGCCATCACCATCCATGCATGGTCATCTGCAAGGACCAGAGGGACCACAGGAAGCCATCGCCGTCCATGCATGGTGGTCTGTAGGACCAGAGGGACCATGGGACAATGGCAGGGTCCATGCACGGCAGTCAACAGGGCAGGAGGGATGGTGGGAGACCAGCAGGGTCCATGCGTGGCCAGAGGGGCCGCAGGGAGGCCAGCAGGACCCATGCATGGTACTGAGTAGGACCAGAGGGACCACAGGAGGCCATCACCGTCCATGCATGGTGGTCTGTAGGACCAGAGGGTCCACGGGAGGATGGCAAGGTCCATGCTTGGCAGTCAGTGGGACCAGAGGGACCACAGGAGGATGGCAAGGTCCATGCATGGCAGTTGATGGGATCAGAAGGACCGCAGGAGACCAGCAGGGTCCATGCATGGTGGTCGGTAGGACAGGAGGGACCACAGGAGGCCGTCACCATCCATGCATGGTGGTCTGTAGGACCAGAGGGACCACGGGACAACGGCAGGGTCCATGCATGGCAGTCAATAGGTCCTGAGGGACCACAGGAGGCCAGCAGGATCCATGCATGGTGCTCGGTAGGACCAGAGGGACCACAGGAGGCCATCACCATCCATGCATGGTCATCTGCAAGGACCAGAGGGACCACAGGAAGCCATCGCCGTCCATGCATGGTGGTCTGTAGGACCAGAGGGACCATGGGACAATGGCAGGGTCCATGCACGGCAGTCAACAGGGCAGGAGGGATGGTGGGAGACCAGCAGGGTCCATGCGTGGCCAGAGGGGCCGCAGGGAGGCCAGCAGGACCCATGCATGGTACTGAGTAGGACCAGAGGGACCACAGGAGGCCATCACCGTCCATGCATGGTGGTCTGTAGGACCAGAGGGTCCACGGGAGGATGGCAAGGTCCATGCTTGGCAGTCAGTGGGACCAGAGGGACCACAGGAGGATGGCAGGGTCCATGCATGGCAGTTGATGGGATCAGAAGGACCGCAGGAGACCAGCAGGGTCCATGCATGGTGGTCGGTAGGACAGGAGGGACCACAGGAGGCCGTCACCATCCATGCATGGTGGTCTGTAGGACCAGAGGGACCACGGGACAACGGCAGGGTCCATGCATGGCAGTCAATAGGTCCTGAGGGACCACAGGAGGCCAGCAGGATCCATGCATGGTGCTCGGTAGGACCAGAGGGACCACAGGAGGCCATCACCATCCATGCATGGTCATCTGCAAGGACCAGAGGGACCACAGGAAGCCATCGCCGTCCATGCATGGTGGTCTGTAGGACCAGAGGGACCATGGGACAATGGCAGGGTCCATGCACGGCAGTCAACAGGGCAGGAGGGATGGTGGGAGACCAGCAGGGTCCATGCGTGGCCAGAGGGGCCGCAGGGAGGCCAGCAGGACCCATGCATGGTACTGAGTAGGACCAGAGGGACCACAGGAGGCCATCCCTGCAACCCACCCCACCAGCACTCCCACTGCCCCTCGCCATCCTGCCTCCGTCCCGCTGACCCCTGCAGACCCACAGCCCCATTTCAGGGGGACGACCCCTCCGGGGGTGCTTCCACCGAGGACATCGTCCCCATTGTCACGCTGTGGGGACAGGACCTGCAGCCTTAAGGCAATTTAAAGCACATTTATTCCCCCAGCCCCAGGGTGTCCCCCCAGTGTCCCCGGCCACCGAGGCAGAGTCCCAGCGAAGAGGGGTCCAGGGACCACCGGGTAGAGGGGACACCTGAATACCCGCCCCGGAGGGAGGGGACAGTCACCCACCGGTGGGGAAGGACCTCACCGTGGTGGTCCGGAGTCACTGATGTCCCCCCA